GTACGTACGTACGTACGTACGTACGTACGTACGTACGTACGTACGTACGTACGTTACGTACGTACGTACGTACGTACGTACGACGACGACGACGAGACGAGACGAGAGAGAGAGAGAGAGAGAGAGAGAGAGAGGGAGTTTGTTTTGTGTAGGGTAAAATGGAGATAGAGGAGAGCGTGGGAGGAAAGAGTGAGATATTTGTGAACGGAAAAAGGGAGAAGTGTGAGGCTTATTTCTGTGCCGGAAGGTTGGGACAGGTGCAACGGCTAGTTTTGTAGGCTCGCTTCTCCAAATATCGATTTTGAATGCCCCTTCCAACGGTCAGAAAATGTAAGCGCACCGCCGAACACGTCATATGGATAGAAGCGTGCGTCGGGGGACGCGATTGTACATGCCGTCCCTTGAGGGAAACTAAGATTCATCTTGTAGAGATTCGTGAGTTTCCGTGAGTTAACGGCACCCACGGCGATAAACTTGGTGTAAAATTTTTTTTCAAAAAAATGGTATTTTAAAAGGGTTGATGTATGCAGGGCTTCAAATGATCACCATTAAATTTGACACAAATCTTTAAAAAAATCAAATTTCACACTTATGTGATAAATTTTTTAGAGATCTGTAACAAATTTAATAGTGATCATTTTAAGTCCTACGTATCAGGGTGTGGGAGGGTCTCATAGGATCACCATTAAATTTGATACAGATCTCTAAAAAAATTATCTGAAACTTGACTTTTCTAGAGATATGTGCCAAATTTAATGGTGATCCTTTGGGGTCTTAAACACATGAGTGTGAGAGGGTCTCATAGGATCATTACTCTTTTAAATATTAGTTTTTTTTATATATATATTTATGATCATCTTGTCGATCATGAATCCCAAAAATTTTGGATTAAAAATTCAGTTTTGAGATAAGTTTAGGTGGGACCTCAAAAAGAAAAGTAGAATAAGGTGTACCTCAAAAATCTATTTAAAAGTAGCGTTTCGATGAGGAAATACCCTATAATTGATTGTATCGACATTGAGATGTATAGATATGAAAAGGAAAAAGAATTCAAGTCTTAAAAATAACACATCATATGACATATTATCTGGACTGTCTACTTTGAAAGTTTTCATGTGTTTATAGATCTACTTGATTTGAACCTTTTTAGGAATTTAAAATTTTATAATTAGAGATGAAAATAGATTATCAAGCTATTTTAATAATATTTTATAGCTAAATTACATCTTATGATAAAAATTAGATGTGCAGCTTACTTTGATTGTTAAGCTTGCAAGCTTATGCAAACCACACTCATTTTTAATATTTAATTTTAGCTACTACGCCTAAAAGTTAGAAATTCGTGTAAAAGTAAATATCGGTAGGCCAAAAACTTATTGTTAATTGAATGCAAATTAATTCAAAGAAAATGGAGTGCTTAAATGTGTTGAGCGCTCGCTTATATAAGAACGACATTTTCATTGGGTTTATATAAGAGTAAGAACATTTTCATTAGGTTTTAGAGGTGTGCCTTAGTTGTATAGTATAAGGTAGGTGCCTTATATTTTTTACTAAAAAATGTATATGTGTTCATGCATATATACATTTTACTATATGCAATAAAAAAGAATTTTATTTCAAAAAATAATTTAAAGAACTTTTATTTCAAAAAATAATTTTATTTCAAAAAAATAATTTTATTTCAAAAAATAATTTTATTTCAAAAAATAATTTCAATAAAAAATAATTTTATTTCAAAAAATAATTTAAGGTAATTTACAAGGAAGTCATGTTTTCTTTTTGGATTTAAAGAATAATCATGTTCGTTGAGAGTGCATATTATATTTTAATTATATATTTTCTATACATCAAATAAACTCACATTTTGAGCACCTATAATTCTAGCCATCCTACACCTGTAAAAAATGTTGAAAAAAAACTTGAGGGAAGAGATAGACCCACTCTTAAGATTAAGGGCAGTGTTTTAGACTATCGATCGTAAAAAATCAGGGTTTTACCAGAACTGTGAGAACTCTGTAAATTTATGTGTACCTCTCCATGGTCATGAAACCCGTCTTAAAGAGGAATTGACGAGGTCGTTCTCTAACGTTCAGCTTCTTCCTGAAATCTCTGAGAAAACGTGACCTTGTAATCTTAGGAAATAGGTGGTTACTTTCTATCTGTTAAATAATGTCACTTTCTCTCTCTAAGAAGCCTCCCTTTTTTAGTGATAAGCATTCAATTATAAGAGAGATAAATTTTACATGTTTAAAGGCCCCATGACCACACACATGTACCAACATCTCCCACTTGGCCATGAGGGCTAGATATATTGAAATATCATAAAGTCTTTACCACTTAACGAATTTAACATTTATGTGCATATTTTTATCATGAGGCTTTCACGTAAGTGCGGTTATACATCTCATAACAAAAAATATCCAAAGTCATGATATGGTTTTTCACGTTAATGCGATTTTTTCGCTCATGACCAAGATATAAAAAATATCTCATTTGAGAGTTCCTGACTTAAATATTTTTAAGTCCCAACAAAACTACGTGCTTTGATAATATTTCTGCATGCAATCCCTTTGTTAAAGGGTCAGCAATCATATATGAAGATGGCAAATAACTTACAGTTATTTCATTCTTTCCAATAATATCATAAATATAATGATAATCAATTTCAATGTGCTTATCCTTAAAACTATAAACTCTATTTCTAATTGATGAAATAGCAGCCTGATTATCACAAAAAATTTGAACAGGTCCGTCGGCTATATCCAGCTTCAAATCATTTATGAAGCGTTTAATCCAAACAGCATAAGTTGTAGCAATGCTAAAAGCAATATACTCGGCTTCCAAAGTATATCGAGCTACACAACATTGTTTCTTACTAGACCAAGAAATACATCCACCACCAAAGAGGAATACAATTCCTGATGTTGATTTTCTATCATCTGAGTTTCCTGCAAAATCTGCATCAGAGTACCTAGTAACCTCTAAGTTGTCAGCTTGGAAGCATAACTTGTAATTTTTAGTTTTCTGAATATATCTTATTATTATTTTTACAGCTTGCTAATGAGCCATCCCAGGATTACTCTAAAATCTACTTACAATACCATATGCATGACTCAAATCAGGTCTTGTACACAATATGACATAATTTATGCATCCTATAGATTGAGCATATAGAATTCTTTCCATTTCAGCTTTGTCACTATCATTTAATGGACACATTTTTTTTGATAATTTTAAGCCTTTACAAACAAGTGTATCTATGGACTTGCAATTTTTCATCTTAAATCTCTTTAAAACACTTTCTAAATAATTTTCTTGAGATAAACATAGAAGTCTTGAACTTCTAACTCTTGTTATCTTAATGCCCAATATATATGAGGCTTCTCCCATATCTTTCATCTCAAAATGGGAACTTAGCTAAGATTTTGTATGGTTAATCATGCCAATATCATTACCGGCTATCAAAATATCATCCACATATTGTGACAATATAATAAAATTGCTCCCACTATTCCAGACATATACACATTGGTATAACCTATTGGCTATATAACTAATTTCAGTGACTGCATTATGAAAAGTAAAGTACCATTGCCTAGAAGACTGTTTTAAACCATATAAAGATTTATTAAGTTTATATAATTTGTCTTCTTGGCCTTTAATAACATATCTTTCTGGTTGTTTCATGTATATATCTTCTTTTAATTCTCCATTTAAGAAAGTTGTTTTGAAATCCATCTGAAATAATTCTATATTATAATATGCAACTAATGCAAGGATGATCCTAATAGATGAAAATTTTGTTACTGGAGAATAATTCTATATAATCTATGCCCTCCCTTTGGGTAACTCCTTTAGCTACCAACCTACCTTTATATTTATCAATGGATCTATTTGCAATAAGCTTTTTCTTTATGACCCATTTGCAACCGATGGCTTTTCAATCTTTAGGAAGGTCAACGAACTCTCAGACTTGATTTCTTTTAATAGAATCAAGTTCATCATCCATGGCTTGAGTCCACTTAGCTGAGTCATGTGAGCTAATACCTTCACTGTCGCTACGAGGTTCATCTATTATATCCTCACTCATTGAAAAGTAATTATATTCATTCTTAAATACATAAATTCTTTTAAAGTCGTAGGTGGGGCTCTAGTTCTTTTAGGCCTATCCAGTGTACTTGATTCAATTGAATCATTCTCACCAAATGTAGAGGGAGTCTGAGAAATACGGTCTTTCAGACCCTTATCTTTATCAATTTCATGTAAGTCAATAGGCTTATTTAAAATATTTTCATCATCTATATTTTCAAAGAAATGAGCATCACGTCTCTCTACTAATGATTTAGTATCATGGTTATAGAATCTATACCCTTTAGAATTTTTTGAATAACCTATAAAAGAGAATTTTATAGTATAGTTTTACTTTGTAATTTATCTCTATCTTATAGTGGTATAAGCACATGTACCCAAGAACCAAAAACTTTCAAGATAGTAAAGTCAGATTTCCTACCTGTTCATAATTTATATAGGGTTAAGTTTATAGATTTAGTTGGAACACGATTAATGATATATATTACAGTGTTGAGAGCCTCACCCCAAAAATGAGGTGATAAATTTGAATGGCTCATCATGGATCTAACCATGTCCGTTATAATTCTATTTCTCCTTTCAGTTACACCATTTTGTTGTGCTGTATATGACATAGTTGTTTGGTGAATTATACTATGCTCCTTACAAAATTCAGAAAATAAGGCGGAACAATATTCACCTCTCCTATCTGTTCGAAGAATTTTAATATGTCTACCTAACTGATTTTCTACCTCAGCTTTATATTATTTAAATGTTTTTAATGCATCTGATTTGTTACAAATTAAGTATACATATCCATAACGTGAATAATCGTCTATAAATGTTGTGAGATATTCCATACCTCTATGTATTTTCACATTTAATAGGTCACATATATCAGAGTGAACAATATTAAGTAGTTTACTAGACCTTTTTCCTTTAGGAAAAGGCTTTTTAGTTAATTTATCAGAAATACATGGCTCGCATGTTTTGAACACAATTTCTTCTAAATTGGAGAGCAAGCGTCTTTTAACCATTTGATTCATTTTGTCTTTATTTATATGCCCTAATCTTAAGTGTCGTAAATATGGATCATCCATACACATAAAAGCATCAATATAACCAGAAAATGATGAACTTTCATTAATATTCAGTCGGTACAAATTGTCAACTTTTGTACCGTACACCAAAGCTCTAGAATGCTT